GGGGGCGGGCTGACAGCCCCGGTGGTGCCACCCGCGGGTGGTGCTTCTCTGCCCTACCCCCTCCAGCGCTGTCAGAAGGCCGCTGTTTGTCGGCTTTTCCACTTCGCGGGTGTTGGAATAGGCAGTAGTTTGGCTTTTTTTCGATACTTGATAAATGTTGCTGTTCTTCGCGGCAGGGGGCTGGGGCTGTAGGCTGAAAAACTGCCAAGCGAAATGAAAGTACGTGAGCTTAAAGGTCTTGAGAGACTCCAAAGTAGCTGTAAGGTTTGAAGGTCTTACACCGGAGTCATATAGAGTATTTATAAAGAGAGTAAACCCCTATGAATGCTGGAAGCTCTGAAGCTTCACCTGAGGAAGAAATGTGTCTGTTAACAGGAATCATTGAATTTTATTTCTTCATATAGCTCCTGTGGTGTTAAAGATGTCTTATGTGACTCCTTTTTCACTTTATAATCAAAGCCTGAATTGCTTGCTAGGGTGTGGAGTTGAGCAGTAAATGCCTTCACTAAGGATAAATTCTAGTGACACTTTTGTTAATGGCTCTGTCCACGCTGACAATCCAGAGCCTTGCCTGAGCGCATGTCTCTTTTGTGGTGTGGCTGTCAATGACTTTTTACCAAGGTGCCTGTAGTGACAGGGCAACGGGCAGTGGCTTTAAACTGAAAGAGGGTAGATTTAGGTTGGACATAAGGAAGAAATTTTTTACAATGAGGGTGGTGACACACTGGAACAAGTTGCCCAGAGAAATTGTGGGTGTCCTGTCATTGGAAGTATTCAAGGTCAAGTTGGACGGGGCTTTGAGCAACCTGATCACGTGAAAGATGTCCCTGCCCGTGGCAGGGGGTTTGGACTACGTGATCTTTTAAAGGTCCTTCCAACCCAAACCATTCTATTAATGAGTTTTCTTTGTGCTAGCTTGCCTACAAATTATTTTCTTGTTCTTGCTTACTACCTACTATTGTGGTCCTGCTTCCCTCTGAATAAAAACCCCCACAAATTGCTAAGCGTATTTTATATCTTTTCAGTAGAGAAAACCATGGAGGGAAGAACATCATCTTCAAGTCGCGTCAGTGTAAGTCTTCCTACAATTTGCAACAATTTACTTTGAGGCTGTGGTTATCCTAGTGTGTTCTGATGTATTTGCACAACCAAATTCATTCTCC